CTTTCCTTTTTTTGAGAAGAAAGAACTGGCGGCAGTGATGAGGACAACCCCTCCCCCGTCGTCCCCAATTTCCTAAAGCAGCTCTGAAAAACATGAAGTTACGGTTTCTCTTTCCTGGAAGATGGAATCCAGAGTACCTGGGGCCTTGCTATGCAAACATCGCTCTCGGCCCAGTAGGAAACCCTTTGTCCGAGACGCCGGACATAACCGGGGCCCGGGAAAGAGGCCCCTTATCCGTCACAGCCTCGAACCCGCGAGCTCCCCACCTCCTCCACCCCTGTAGGGCCTATCCCGGCATCCACACAGCCCTAGGTTGGGGAGAGGGTGCTGAGACCCCGACTAGGTCGCGGAGGCCGAGGCCCCGACCGATCTCCTCCGTACCCCCTCCCGCCACCATCTCACTCAGCCGGAGTGGAGCTTTCAGGAGCGGTGCAGGCCTGGCCCGGAGAAATAGAGAAAAAATAATAATAAATCCCATTCTAAGAAAAGGAGAATGAGATGCTGGAGCGAGTGTGAGCTAAGGCCATAGCGTAAGCGAGCGAGGGTCGTTCGAGAGATGGGCCCGGACCCAGGACGGGGGCAGAGAGGAGAGCCGAGGGGCATGGAGGGGGCCGGGCCAGGTCCGGCCTGAGATATCGAGGGATCCGGAGGGGCCGCGCCGGGCCCGAGGCCACGGAAGGCAGGGGGCCCAGGTCGGGGCCGAGACGGCGGGGAAGGGCCAGGGCCGGCCTCGCGCCGGACGCTGAGGTGGGCAGGCCCTCCCGGGGCCGGACGGACGGAAGAACAGACGGTCCAGAGGGCCGCACTCACCATGAGCTCGATGGTCTTGTCCTCAATCACCGAGTCGGGCTCCATGGCGGCCCCGGCGGCCCCGCCTCGCTCTCCCCGCGCAGCAGCGAACGGCCCGGGCGGAGGAGGCGACGGCGGAGGCGGCAGAGGCGGAGGCGGTAATCGCACCCACTCTAGCTGCCAGCCCGCCCGGGCCGCCGGCAGCTCCGCCCTCCCCCTCGGCGAACGCAGTGCGCACAGCTCGCACTACAGCTCCCAGCAGGCGCCGCGGGCCCCGCAGAGCGCGTGGGAACCGGACGCCGGCGCCGGGCCGCTGTCTCCCGGCAGCGCCAAGCAGAAGCCCGAGCCCAGAGTTGCACTGGATAATGCATGCGGGACGTTCAGACCTAAAGAATTAAGGGCTCCCTCTCGTAGGGCCTCGGGAGCCCCGCGACTACATGTCCCAGAACGCCCTGCGCGTGGGTTCGCCTTCCGGCTACTTTCTCCTGACTTCCCGGCAGCCCCAGGCTACCCAGATCGGAACGGAAACTCGGAGGCAACTCTTCGCAGGTCGGAGGTCCTGCGTGTGCGACCGATTTCCGCACATGCGCGGTCGGCGGCCGCCGTGCCCATTCGACGTCTTAGGTAGCGGCGCGGCTGTTCTGCGGGCGTCCCGTGGTAGGGACACATTTGGAGACAGGTGGGTTCTAGGTGTGTTAGGAGGGGATGGTTTCGAGGCTCAGGTGTGGGCGGGGGCCAGCGAGCGAGAGAAGCTCGGGCCAGGGTGGAGGGTTCTAGAAGGGCATCCAGTCTCTCAGGCATCCCAGTGAAGTGTTCGAAAATTTCGATGGGGAAGAGGAGGCTTTTGCAGATGAGCCGCGCTGCTGCTGCCTGTGTGTACCGCGAACTGGGAAGAGCTGAGATGAAAGCGAACCCGTGTATACTGAGCCCCACTTACTCATAAATTTCGTTCAGAAAATATTTTTTAAACTTCCACCCTCTGCCGGACACCACCAGTCTAGGCCCTGGGAAAATCGGCTCTGAACATCACAGACAAAGCCTCTGTTCCCGTGAAGCTTAATTCTAGTGGGCGGGAAGGCAGGCATTAACCAGATGAGTGACAGGTGCTAAGAAAGACACGGCTGGAGACCTGGAGACTTCTAGTGAACTCTGTCACCAACTCTGTGAACTTTGTCGGGTCTGTCAGTGCCTTCTAATCAGAGACCACCAGAGACACACTGATACTTGAACAAGGTGTGTCCTTACTGGTTGCTGTGAGTGAGAACGCACACCATGAGGAACAGAGTGGCATCTCAAAGTTGTTAGGTAATTTGCGAGAGGGTTGAAGGAAGTACCACCTGTCACTCTTTTGGTTAATGCCTGCCTTCCCGCCCACTCTGGATTAGGTAGTGCCAGGAAGTGGAGGTAATTCTATGATTGGGCATCTCAGTAAATCTTACCTGAAGGGAAGAATTCTAGACTGAGGCTAAAGCTGTAATTGCTAAGAAGCAGCATCCCCTCATAATAGCTGGGATGGGCAACGTTTGGTCGTTTATTGTGGTTTGAACAATGTTTATGTTTTATCTGTGTGCAGATATAATTAAGGAGTGGTCTTGGTTTTGTCTTGATCTATCACGGTTACAGAATGGCCTTGTCTGATGTTTATGTTCTGTGTAATTATATTCAACAGAGTACGCAAGGCCTAGCTCAGAAGGCCAGGCTGGAATATACCAGGCCAGCTTCCAAATATCAGAGGCTGCTTTTCTCTTTCTCACGTGTTTTCGCATTCTTTGCATCTATAAAGTGAGAGGACTAGGTGAGCTAGAAATCTTTCCATTTCCAAGGACCAGATTGTACGCATGCAGGACCAGTCGTTTGTATTCATGCAGGACACAGTGTATGTTCCTTGCAGTTAGCATTTGAAGTTTCATAGCCCTTAACTCGTGTTTTCCACCAAGAGAATTGAAAGAAAAGCAATAAGAAGAAAGAGCACAGGATAGGAAAGTCGTGTCACTACCTTGCTATCTGAATTTCCTCAGACTCCTTCTCCTACCTGGGTCTTGGGACATTCATTAGTAAAACAAAGCAGTTAGAATAAATGACCTCTGTTTCAGTTATCTATTGCATCATAATAAACCTTCTCCAAGTCTTGTTAGCTTAAAATAACAGTGTTTTATTATTTTTTCGCAATTGTGTGTGTCTGACTGGATTCAGCTGGACATACATCGTATTAGCTGAGATTACTCGTGGGATTGCAATCAGCTGGGAGCTCATCAAAGTGGCCTCTAGGGCCTGTCTTTTCACCTGACTTCTTAACAATCAAGCTTCTGCATGATGTCTAGCTTCCAAGAGGACATGGCGCCAATGAGCAAATGCTTATCAAGCCTTTGGTTGCTAATGTCCTACAGCCAAAAAAAAATGTCATATGGCCCAGCCCAGAGTTATTGTGGAAAGGGACTATACGAGGTTGTGAATACAGAGTCTTGGTTCATTGGGAGCCACCAGTGTAACAGCCAACCAAGACTTCTGAGGCCCCAGTACTTGCCACAGGATCTAGCACATAGGATTATGGTAGGAGTCACAAACTGAATATGACCTCCCCAAAATGTATGTTTATCACACCGTCTTTTTTTATCGTTTTAAAGTTTGACAGTGTCACATTTTAAAATCTGAATTTCCAGCTTCTCTCAAATTAAAATCTGACTGTATCAGATTTGCCGACAACAATATACTGGGGTTAAGTAGCAACTCCCTTATTTATACAAAGCATGTCCTCTGTCGATTTGCACTGTCACCGCCCCTCCCCATTGTCTTGTATCTGCATGCTTCATTCATTTAAATTGAGTGCCTAACTCATACAGACATTTTAGTTTGTAACCCTCCGTATTAGAACTCTAGTGAAGGTAAGGGTTTCTGTCCTTTTGTTAAAGCCACACCCCACTTTAAGAGGAAAAAATGCTAATACTGAGTCAAATTCCAGGAGCTCAGTGAGATTAAAAAGTCATACATGTGATAGAAGTTTTACCCAAAGTATAGGAAAAGCAAGCTGAGCCAAGGCTTATCACTTTGCTTTCTCCTCAAACAGTAATTCAGGTATGTAGGTATTATTGCTTCTGACTTCATGCCAGCTGGTGACTAGATTTAGTCATAAAGGCAGAAGGCCTTGAGGCATTCTTTTCCCCTGGTTTTTCAGATAGCTCTGACCTTGGATTTACAAGACATAATTACAACAAAGTGGTACAAGTCTACAATTTCTTAACCAATATACTGAGATCCAGATATGTTTCAGAATTGTTTAAATTGTACAAAGGCTGTATGGTACCCACACTGTGTAGATAATGTAGCACTCCCAATGAAGTCTGGGACAGCACTTTATAATCTATTACATTAATTTTTCTGCTGCAGAACATATGTGTGCCTGCTACCAATTTGTAGCCTCACAGCTCCAAATCCACCCTTTTCTTCTATACTTTGACATACTGGAGTGGGACCTTCTAAGTATATTTCCTCTGCCAGCTAGCACAGTGGTTAACTATCTCAAGGGAGCACCCTAGAGGAACACAGCTGAAAGAAGGGGCTTCTCTTCCTGGTTCAAGTCTATACTCTCCTCTTTCTTTCTTTAGTGGCACACAGCAGCAAACGATTTGCAGAACTGTAACCCACACACATACACACAGGTGGCTGGGACAGCAGAAGGTTGCTTCCCAGTACAGTGGCCCCTCAACAGGCAATTTCCTGCTTGCCATCCCCAGCCTGTGGCATGTTAAAATGATATATTTTCACCTGCGATGACTTTTCTGAATTCAGATATATAATAGAGAAGGATAGTGCTGTGAAATTTTGACTTAACTCATTTCCAACTAATGTCAAAGAATGCAATTTTCTTGAGGGAGAATCTCGTGAAACCAAAGGAAAGAGGGTTGGTAAGAAGTATTGAAGATAGCAGCTCCCTATTTTATCCACATGACAAGGCTCCATGCCTTATCCATCTATCTATAGAATCCAGAAAAAGAAGAGTTACGAAATATATATTCACACATTTATTTGGACTGAAAACAAAGCCAGACTTTCTGACAGTTTAATTTAGCTGACTGATTTGATAGGATTGGCATTGCCAGTAATGGGCTGTTAGGTAAGTTAAATCTTTGGTCCATGTTTTTTAGGATAATACATTTAAAACACATAAGTAAAAATGTTCCTCAATTCATTTATTGTCAACCATGTATTGAAATTAATATTTGTATTTCCCCAACCCTTTATAAACTTATCAGGTTAAATAAGATACTTCCAAGTGAAAGAGTAAAGAAAAGTTGCATTAGTCAGAATAGAATACACTATTCCACAGTAGCAAATTATTTCTGTGTACCAGTCAAGGGAAGCAGAACCACTGAGAGTGTAGTAAGGGATTTTTTACCGGGAGTTGACCTTATATACTTGCCGAATCTAGTTAAGCAATCTCTGTGAGGCTGTTGTCTTTGTAGGTGATACTGTATCTTAGAGTCCATGGGGCCGGCAGTCAGGAAGGGAGGATGAGTGGACGGTGGGGGAGGGCAAGCATGGCAGAACTGGGATCCGCTGAGACAGACTGAAACCTGTTTCAGTTCTTATTGCTGCTGACCTCAGTATTATGGATGATCTGCAGAGGCTGGAGCCCTGTGTCACAGAGCTGAACACCCACACCTGGCCCAGGAATTGGAGAAGCTGAAGGAGGTTCTAAGGGAACATGGAGCAATTGCAGACCCAGCCACTCCTCACATCAAGGTGAGTGAGCAGATCAACAACAACGTCTATGGGCTACTAAATGACTATAGTTTCGCTGCCACCCTCCAGATCTCGCACAAGAATCTGTCTGGTGGCCCACCCTAATCAGACACAGAGAAGAACAGAAATCAGGGAACTGTATTTTAGCCTAGCCAAGCTGACGCATTACTGTTTCCATACCTGATACACATATCTTGTTTGCGTGAAGTCCAATGCACTCAGCTTGCCCCCCACGTTAAAGTTTTACACCATCAGGAATTCGTGGTGTCCAGTACGGCTGAGGCAGAGGGGAGGCTCACCAGCTATTAAGCGCCTCACCCCAGAACATCCTTCCTGCTCTGTATTGGTTGGTCAGTGCTTAATCACACAGCCCTAACAGGCTAGAAGGGAGGCTGAAGGATATATTCTTCCTGTTTGCCTAGATAAAGAAATGAAATCGAATTTGGTGAACAAATAGGATTATCTCTGCTACACAGGTATAAGTAATATTCATTTAATCTTGGTAAAGAGTTTGTGAGATGCTTCCCAGAAATTGAGAAAGTGAATTTCTCCAGTTACTATATAAAAATCCTTTTTTATTGGTTAAGTAAAAGGAACAAAGTTCCCAATTCTTTGTTCTCAACAAAATTGATTGACTTGAGTTTTAAAGATAATTTAAAATAATTTTGTTGACATATCACTATGTAATTTTTGACATAACTTGGAAAGAATCCAAAAAAGTCACATAGCATTGCTATGAGACAATTTTAATTCTTATATGAACAAGTCTTCTCAGCAGTAACATCTATAAAAATAAGACCTAAAAATAAATTGATGCTGAATCCTGTCACATTTTAGCAACAATATGTACAGATATGCAAACTTTTTAAAATCATTAATTTAAAAGATCGTTCTGCTAAAATTGTTTAATCACATCAAAATATTAATGTACTTATTGGTCGATCAGTTGTGTTTAATAATTATTATAATAATTTAGTCCAGAAAATTTTTTTTGCTAATATTTGAGCCTGTGATTACAGAAAATAAAAATTATAACCAGGGTACAGAAGAGAAGTATGATAGGGTCATCAATAAAAGACTTCCAATCATAAAAATACATTAGGATAAAATTCTTTGGAGAAAATGGAATGGAAATATGAGTTCAGGGAGAAAAAAGAATGGTATAAAATGTCCTATTAGAAAAGAGCTTATTCATGTATATTTTTAAAGGATGATGATATAAAATTGCTATGTAAATTTCATTGAGAAGAATAACAACAGTGTTATTTTTAAATGCGAGTATTTACAAGACAATGTAAAATCTGAATTTCCAGCTTCTCTCAAATTAAACTATGTTTCTAGTATCAGTTTAAGAAGTGAGTAATCACATAAAGTTTCAAGGTTCTTTGGGGGATACACAAGCAAAAAAGGTTAAAAAGCACTTCTCGAGATCACTGGTGACACAGAAAGGGCCCAGGTGTCCCGAGCACCAGACTCTGAAGCGCGCAGTCTCGAACAAGAGTAGACACCTGCCAGGTAGTCCTTGGCCCAGGTGTGAAAGAATTGGATTTGGAAACTGTCTCCCCTCAGTAATAACCAAAGACATGGCAGTCAGCGCAGCCATCAGAAAGCCAGCCCGTTCGCCTCATTCTCAGCCCTGAGAGGCTCCGCAGCAGCTACCCAGCCTGCGCTGGAGGCCGTTAGCAGCCTAACAACAATACACCTTTCCAGCCTCACTTCTCACTGCCTTCCTCTACCTCAGGTTCTGGCCAGTTCTTCCATGCTGGGGAGGACGAGATGAGAGCTTGCAAATGGCTGGGCAGTGCAGAATTCATTGCCTCTGGTGTGAGCTTTTTTATCCTAAGGAATGTCCTGAATTCTGAGGAAGCTGGCCAGCAGAGAACAGGCAAAGAGGGATGAAGTTATACAGAGATTTCCTGATGATCTAGATTCTAGCTGCTAGAACATAGAATTTATGACTGAAGTTTCAGGCATTAATCCCAGTTAGTTTCGTGTATGTATTCGGGTGCGGTTTGTTGTTGATAGCCTTATTCCATCCCCTTCCGCCTGAATGGGAGAGTCGTGTGTCTGCCTTCTGCTTTTTTTCTCTCCATTAGAGTTTTATAATCAGTAGAGGCCCAGAATTACCAAATGTAGAGCAAAGTACACATACAAGGAGCCTTAGCTATGTGACGGGTTGTTAAAATGGGACTCTTTCAAGCCAAGTTGCAGCTGTGAGCTCGAAGCTGAAAACAATAGGTGCCACTTTAATTCAAAGTCTTGGATGAAGTTTATAAGGCCTGTGAAGGATGTCAAAAAACCAGTCCTGCCAGCTAGTCAGCCCATCCCCCACTTTGAGGGGGTACAGGAGAGGCTTAGGACTGACCAGCAGAAATGGGAGAAGATTTAGAGTATTCTTTTCTCCCAGCACTGCCCCAGTCCACCTCGGGAGCACTTCAGGGACCACTCAGACACTGATATGTGTCCCCTAGGTTGGGGGACGGGCCCTGGTTCCTCGTTTATGTCCGAAGAGGTAAGTGCGGAGGCAGGCCAAAAGCCGAGTGAGAGTAGCCTGCGGCCACAGAGAGAAAAATACCTGCCTAGGGAAGGGCCTGCACTTCCTAAGTTCTGAGGGACAGAGATGCTTGTCGTCATGGGGGCCCACTGTGGACTCCGCAGAAAAGTTGTCTTGAAATAGTCTCTGATCAAGAGGACCATCTGGAGGGGCAGGGTGATCCCAAGAGGTGTGCCCTGTGAGCGGTGCACCACGGGAAGCCAGGGATTGCAAGGGGAGAGGGATTTCGGGCAGCCAGCCAGAGAGAGTATCTCTTGTCTGGAAATAACAGGAACCCCAAAAAGTGTCCCAGGAGAGAAGAGACCAGCATTTGGCATGAACCGTCTAGGAGACACAAGTGCCAGATTACAACTGGGCAAGTCAAGGCATTTTCTCCCCCGCCTCAGTCGCGTTCCCAGAAGCAGACCCTAAAATGAGGATGCTGTGCCGGGCTTTGTGAAGAAGTTCTCGCTGGAGAAAGCCGGTGGGGAGTGGAGGAAGCAAGAGGGGAAGTCGTGCACTAGGCACAGTTCCACCGAGAGGAGTTCGAGCTTCAGCCCGAGCCTGCAGCGGGGCTCCAGAATGAGTGTGTCCTGACCGGGTGTTCAGGTTTTCGTAGTCCTAGGTCAGTGAGCTAGCTCCCAGGCACCTCTGGGCTTCAGGCCAAGCAGAGCCAGTGAGGAGGGCTGTCCTCGGAAAAGGGCGGTTGGATCTGCTCTCAGAAAGGAAAGCAGAAGCCACGGGAGGAGGGTACAGATCCGGAGGGAGCACTAGCGTGTCTGCTGCAGATCATCCCGTGCCCTGCTCAGCTCTACTTGTATTTTATGTTAAATTCATCCCATCACAGGGATGAATTTCTAAGGGAAAATTTTGAAGAGGAAGGTTAGAGGGATGTGGTCTCAAGGTTATAAATAATTCACCTCTGTTCTAGACACCTTTACCCTTGACTATAACGCTTCTGCTGTTCTACGTGGCTTACCTTGAAGGGTTTTTTTATTTTCTCTGGATAAATACACAAGTGGAATTGCTGGAGTGTATGACAGCTCTTATTTTTCATTTTTTGAAGAATCTCCATACTGTTTCTCATGTGTTTCCACTAATTTACAATCCCACCAACAGTGTATGAGGGTTCCCTTTTCTCCACATTTTCGCCAACTCTTGTTTGTTGATTTATTGACGATAACCATCTGACAGGTGTGAGGTGATATCTCATTGTGGTTTTAATTTGCATTCCTCTGATGATTTGTGATCTCGAGCATCTTTTCATATGTCCATTGGCCATGTGTATGTCTTCTTTGGAAAAATGTCTGTTCAGATCCTCTGCCCACTTTTTAATTGGATTGTTTCTTCTTTTGGTGTTAAGTTATATGAGTTCTTCATATACTTTGGCTATTAACCCCTTTTTGGATGTATCATTTGTGAATGTCTTCTCCCATTCAGTAGGTTGTCATTTTGTTTTATCAATGGTTTCTTTTGCTGTGCGAAAACGTTAGTTTTATGCAGTGCCATTTGTTTATTTTTTCTTTTCTTTCCCTTGCTCAAGGAGATATCCAAAAAGATTTTTGCTAAGAGCAATGTCAAGTTTACTGCCTATGTTTTCTCTTGGATTTTATAGTTTCAAGTCTAACATTTAAGTCTTTAATTCACTTTGAATTCATTTTTGTATGTGGTATAAGTTTTGCTAACACCACTTATTAAAGAGACTATCTTTACCCTCATTGTGTTTCCTTGCCTCCTTTGTCATAGATTAATTGACCACATAAGCGAGGATTTATGTCTGGGCTCTGTATATGTTCTTATGCCAGTACCATACTGTTTTGATTATTATAGCTTTGTAGTACAGTTTGATACCAGGGAATATGATACCTGTCACTTTGTTCTTTCTCAAGACTTTTCTGGCCATTTAGGGTCTTTTGTGCTACCATATAAGTTTAAGATTGGTTCTAATTCTGAGAACAATGCCATTGGTATTTAATAGGGATTGCATTGAAACTATATTACTTTAGATGCAAAGATGTTGTAACAATATTCTTCCAATCCATGAGCAAGATATATCCTTCCATTTATTTGTATCTTCAGTTTGTTTCTTCAATGTCATATAATTTACAGAGTACAGGTCTTTTACCTCTTTGGTTAAATTTATTCTTAGGTATTTTCTACTTTTTGATGCAATTGTAAATTGTTTTCTTCATTTCTTCTGATTGTTTGTTATTGGTGTATAGAAATGCAACAGGTTACTGGATATTGATTCTGTATCCTGCAACTTTACTGAAGTTATTTATTCTAATAGTTTTTTTTAGTGGAGTATTTAGGGTTCTCTGGTTATAATATCATATCATCCGAAAATAATGACAGTTTATTTCTTCTTTTCCAATTTAGATGCCTTTTATTTATTTATTTATTTTTCTTGTCTGATCCCAGTGGCTAAGACTTCCAGAACTATGTTGAATAGAAGTGGTAGTAGACA